TTTGGGGTAAACGTGATGACGTCGTGTCGCAACCAGGAAGTGCTCCAAAGGCTAGACCGTCCCATTTACCAATGGCTGATGATTCTCCGGAGCAGCCTACCGAGTCTGGGTCCTCCGGAGGCTAGGTAGGCTGCGTCCTCGGAAGTACGCAGCCCGCGAATTGAGACGCAGCCAGTGTTAGTGGAGCCCAACTTATATAAGGAGCCCAAGTGACTCCAACTAGTAAGACCCGCCTCTGCCTACAGGAGGAACCGCCCCGGCAGGTCAGAGGAAAGGGCCGTGACAGTGTGCATAGCAGAAAGAAAACCTATATGATGGAAATGTACAGGGTACCCCAAACCTAACTTGCCCATAGACTCCCATAACAAAGCTTCAAATAATGACAAAGAGCATGCAAAGCATGTACCAAATAGCCGGCTAGGTGAAAACAGGCCTCAGCTCTACAGGTGAGAAGTTTATATAGCACTGATTGGTTCCCTAAAAACAATCAGTGCAGATTGGCACCAGCCTGCACTCTGAACCTCTTAAACTCATGTATTCCGGCAGATAAGTAACAACACATTTGGGATGAATTAGAGTGGAGACTGATAGCCAGGCTTTCTCACCTAACATCAACTTAGTGTATGACCTCACAAATGCACTTCTGGAATCAAAAATTCTTATAACCGTTGAGCAAATACTTTTGGCAATATAGTGCATATGAGTTTACCTAAAGTGCGTCATGTGATGCGTATAATCCTTTTAGTGAATTTTATTTTGTTTAATAATAATCCCCTGAGCACCACAAATCTTGTTGAAACCAAATGATTAAATCCATACCTACATATACAAGCATATCCAGCTTCTTCCTTCACTTAAACTGGAGAATGTTTAATGCACCAAATCTTTCAGCATTATGATATTGTTTTTTTGTTTGTTTTTTTTCTAGCTCTGACATGGTTCCCTCCAAGTTCACAATGACAGTTATGATATTCGTTATGATGATCAGCTTCTATTACTTCTCCAGACATGTAAGTCCACATGCATGTATTAATCATAGAAATGTATCCTGTTTAGCTTTGTGCAAAACATATTTTAAAACTAGAAATACAAACAAAAAATAAGTCCAGATAATTAAGATTACAATTAAGTTTACATAATAGTTAGTAATATTAAATGATGACTATCCTCAAAATCTGTTTATAAAATGCTAAAGAGTGACAAAATCATGAACATCATTTTACCGTCTTTTTTCTAGAAATTCAGTTTTTCTCACTGAGCCATAATTCATGGCTTAGTGACAATGCATATATTGCTCTATTATTTACAACAAAGTAAAAGGCTGGCTTCTAAATTTTAGCACAAACCTAAAGTGAGCACAAGAAGCTCCTAGTGTCCAGATAGCCTGTACTCTGCAATAAAGTTTTGACTTTAAATCACCATCAGAAGAAATTAAGGCATATTGAGATAACACTATTGTAATCTTGTTTTAGAGTACGAGTCGATGTGGGTTTTCTTAAGTTTAAAATGTATAAACTTAACAAACTTGAACAACTCCAATACTTTAACCTTCATAACAGAACAAAATGCAGAGGTCTGTTTCACAAGCACATTTAATGAAAACACCAAGTTAGTTAAATATAAAATAATAAAAAAACAACAACCAGGTTTTCGTTGTATGACAAACAGCGGTCACTCATCCTCTGTGTCTGTTACCGTGGTAACATTTTCCAAAGATGTAATCAGGAGCAGCGTTTTCTCAGTAACCTTTAAATGTCCTCTATATCCACCCACCTTAAAGCCAGTCACGCCGTTACATTTTCGGATTAAAGGCACACTATGCAACATTTTTCAGTTAATTAATGTGTTCCATAACGTTATGGATGATTAAATGGTTCATTTCAGGTTGAACAAAGGTATTCTCGGCCGCCCTGGTGGTCTGTGGGGGAAATACCGCACTTGCAATTGCAGGAGCATCGACCCGCACCCACACGCTCAGAAG